ACACCGGTTGCAGTGTCGAAGAAGACGCCGGTTGTGGTGTCGAAGAAGGCGGAGTCATCGAGTGACTCAGATTCGAGTTCGGAGGAGGATGTTGCGGTGAAGAAAGCGACATCAGTTGGGGCGACGAAGACGACACCGGTTGCAGTGTCGAAGAAGACGCCGGTTTTGGTGTCGGAGAAGGCGGAGTCATCGAGTGACTCGGATTCGAGTTCGGAGGAAGAGGTTCCAGTGAAGAAGGCGACCCCAGCTGGGTTGGCGAAGACGACACCTGTTGCGGTGGCGAAGAAGACGCCGGTTGTGGTGTCGAAGAAGACGGAGTCATCGAGTGACTCGGATTCGAGTTCGGAGGAAGAGGTTCTAGTGAAGAAGGCGACACCAGCTGGGGCGGCGAAGTCGACGCCGGTTGTAGTGGCAAAGAAGTCAATCGTTGTAGTGTCGAAGAAGGCGGAGTCATCGAGTGACTCGGATTCGAGTGCGGAGGAGGAAGTTCCAGTGAAGGAAGCGACATCAGTTGGGGTGGCGAAGTCGGCACCGGTTGCAGTGGCGAAGAAGACGCCGGTTGTGGTGTCGAAGAAGGCGGAGTTATCGAGTGACTCGGACTCGAGTTCGGAGGAGGATGTTACAGTGAAGAAGGCGACACCAGCTGGGGCGCCGAAGTCGACAAGGGTTGCAGTGTCGAAGAAGACGCCGGTTGTGGTGTCGAAGAAGACGGAGTCATCGAGTGACTCGGAATCGAGTTCGGAGGAAGAGGTTCCAGTGAAGAAGGCGACACCAGCTGGGGCGGCGAAGTCGACGCCGGTTGTAGTGGCAAAGAAGTCAATCGTTGTAGTGTCGAAGAAGGCGGAGTCATCGAGTGACTCAGATTCGAGCTCGGAGGAGGATGTTGCAGTGAAGAAAGCAACATCAGTTGGGGCGACGAAGACGACACCGGTTGCAGTGTCGAAGAAGACGCCGGTTGTGGCGTCGAAGAAGGCGGAGTCATCGAGTGACTCGGATTCGAGTTCGGAGGAAGAGGTTCCAGTGAAGAAGGCGACACCAGCTGGGGCGGCGAAGTCGACGCC